TGATTATATCATAAATTTTAGATGATATTGAGTCTTTAAGCTGCGTTGTAGTGCATGGTATTTGTGTTAACAGATATAAACAATAAGCAGCGTCAATCGGAAGTGGAGTATGTGGCATCAGAAAATTGAGATAAAGATAACAGAAAGGAAATCTTTTGGTAATCGAAATAACAACAGAAGGAAACTCAAAGAGATAGGGATATGCAGGATACATTTACGACTATATTACATTCGCCGTTTCTCCAGAATGTCCTGATCGTTTGAAAAACCCAAGGCTCTTCGTGTACCTCTGTGTCATTATCAGAAGGGCACAGTTACTTGTAGGCATTACGGTTTTTCTTTAGAACAAAGTGGACGCGTTTCAGAGCTCTTTCATGCCTATTGTTATTTCCCTCATGATTTAATGAAGCAGCACCACAATATGCTTAATCTCAGTTGCCTACTGGGTTCTGCCTACTTCTTCAAGAGCTGGCCAACGATGTCTGGTGAGTATTTAAGTTTTGGTCACAAATAATTCTAGATGATCCTAACAGACATTCGTTCATAGCTACTTTATTTTACCTCATGGACTATGGCATACAGTCATAAAAGCGCTTACTACAATTACTAACCCGTCTATCGTATATTTAGCATAGAGCTAGACAGATGTCACTTCCAACAGTATCTAACTTCCGACTTTATTAAACATCATTAACTTATGGTTTATAAATGGATAGACTGGGTTAAGCATATGTATATTGGAGATATCTCAAGTATTCTCCAGTGTCATGACAGATATTGCTCTTTGTCTAGGATGATGGTTAATTCTGTAACTCGAGTCCTGAGTACTCGGATAACTCTTCGTCAGAACAAACCAGATTGTCCTTGAAACTAGATAAGTTTAATGCATTTCATTTATCTCAACTTCTGGCTGCTATCGCATAGTCGCTCTGGGTCCGGAAAACATTTGATGCTAGAGCATCTGGAAAACGAATAATTAACCCATTTATAAGGTGTTGTGTTGGGAGGATTAAAGTTATTGGGTGTTCCTTCACAGATTAATAGATCTTTAACCATTGATTTTTTAATTCCTAAGACCACTAATAATACTTGTAGTAGAAGTTTGTGAGTAAACTACTCATATGTTGATACAATTACAGTTTTGTTTGAGTTTGTACAGTGTCCCAGTTGAACCAGCATATTGCGTCGCTGAAGTTGATAATCTCTAAAAGCTAGAAATAAAAAAGGATTAGTTCACAAAAATAACTTTAAGTAAGGTCTTTCCAAGCAGAATACCGTTTTCAAGCTCGGGTAAAGGAGAAAGGTTGGATCTGCGCTTGTTAGCCTCATCCCATAAAAATAAGTTTGCTAAAAACGCTAACCAGAAAACAATTACTTAGACAACTAGAGCTCTACTCTGTGATTTGAAGGATTTTCATGTAGAAGAGCAGCGACATTTCATAGTGGAAGCCAAGCTACTTTGGAAGTCTCAATGTAGATTTTCCATACATCAAAAAAACCCAACAAATATAGGTATATTAAATGTCTGTATATTATTGGAGATTGAGAAAGCTACACAAATAACCACAGAAGTGAGAAGATAAACCTGACCGTGATTGGAATAAGTTAAACTCACTGAACACAATTCGAATGAAGAAAAGTAAATTTATGAAATGTAAAACCATATTCTGTTCAAGAAAAATAAAATTCCCCAACAAACAAGAGCTTGCACTAGTGCTATGGGAAGAAACATAAGATATACCATTAGGACAAGAGTCTCATGAATCCAGTGTTATCAAATCATACTTTACATCAAATAAGAAAGAGGCTACAATGAATATCACCCAGTGCTACATACCCACCAACGATAGCAGTAGAGATAAGGATCGGTCTTATAAGAGACTGCAATTCACCATCGAGAAATGTTCAGGAAGTGAAATGACCATCCTGATAGGATGACCAAATGTCAATATCGGAATGAACAACATCGGTTATGAACGCACTATGTGTTGATGTAGACTTGGAGAAAGGAACGAAAACGGTGAGAGATTTGAAAATCTACATAGGTTCAGCAACATGGTTAGAGGTGAATTCATTTTCTCCTGCAAATTCATATACAAAGCTAAATAGGTCCCATCGAATCATATTACACAGAACTCTATTAACTATACTTACATTGATGAGGCGTTCAGAAGGTCCCTGAAAAATAGGAATAAAGAAAGGAACTGGTGTAACTTCAGATCACCATGTGTTGGTGGCTGAGCTAAAACGGAAGCTGAAGAAGCAATGGACAAGCAGAAAGACTGCATTATAAACATTGGACACAATGTTCCATCGACAGTCTAACAAGCTGAACAAACACGATATTGTTCTCAACAACAATTTCCATGCCTAACAAAATGTACTCACAGAAGAAGAGTAAATCGCTATGGATAACAAGTTGGAAGAGAATAAATCAGAAGTGACTCCAACGAATTAGGAGGTGCCGGGTCACATGGAGCCCAACCAGAATGAAGGATGGATCTCTGTAGATCACCTGTGTGCGAGTAAATAAATAGAGAATAGGAAGACAGTTTTGAGTAACAGTGGAATAAGAGCAGAGCAGAGAAATCCCAAGCACAGATTGAACGCCCAGAAGTAAATGAGTGAGTGAAGAAAAGTATTAGAATTAACGAAACAACACACACATATCTTTCTACAAATATCACCCTACCAACAAGTGACGAAGACAGAATAGCTAAAAGTGAAACGAATATTAGGAAAGCATAAGTAAGACCAGACAACATGCCAGCTGAAGCATTGAAGTTGAACACAGACGTATATACGGAAATGGTCCACACACTATTTAGAAAGATTTGGCGTCAATAACAGGTGTCGAAAGACTAGAAAAAGGATACTTTAGGTGGGGTTTTGTTCTCCAAGCTAGATGACTTTGTCACGGATCATACTTTAGTCTTCTGAACAACATTTCACTTCCATATGAAGTTTGTGCTGGTCATTTTTGGAAAGACAATGAAAGCTCTACTACCAAACCATCCAGTTTAGAGGACAAATTTCCACCTAAATTAACCATCTGAGCTACAAATCTTCTCCATTAGAATGATACTTTATCAGGATACCGAAGGAGAATTCAGCAAGTGTGGGAAATACAGAGACACTACACTACTGTCAAGATGTTAAAGTTTTCAATAGTGTTGTTGAATCGTAGACGTTAAACTCTAGAACAACAAGCTAAATTTAGTGAGGATTGATCGACTGACCAAATCACGACACTGAAGATCATTGTTGAATGATCGTCAATCGTAGCACACTCATCACTATATGTGAACATTGTTGACTATGAGAAAGTGTTTGTTAGGGTGGATGGTAGGAGTTTGTGGATTGCTGTTCGATATGACAGAATGTCTGAGTGTGTCGTCACCATGATATAGCATTCTCACAGTGGATTACAGTGAGAATTCATGCAGCCCACAAATCCATTCGAAGTGAAGATCGGTGTGAGACAAGGCTGTCTACTGCCAACTTTCCTCTTTGTTCTGATCGTCGGATGGATTATGAAGACCTGGACATGTGTGTAGAAGCACACAAAACATTGGACAGATTGGATGTAACATGATATTTGCCACTTTGCAAATGACTCGGCATTCATATCACATACACAGGAACAAATCTATCTGAAGAGACCAAGTGTAGCAGTGACTTCCATATCAGTATGCATGGACATTCGTAAGAGAAGAGGTGAGGTGCTGAAATACAGTACAGTGAGTACCAGGCGAATTGTGTTTGATGGTCATGCTGTGGAAGAGATGTGATCATTTACGTGACTTGTCAGTATCACTGATAAACAAGATGGATTTGATATAGTTGTGATTAGGTGGACTATTAAGGCAAATGTACCGTTGGTACAATTGAAGAATATTTGGACATCGAAACAACTGCCATATAACACAAATGTCTGAATTTTCAATACATACGTCAAGATAGTTCTATTGTGCTGAGCTGAAACTTGGAGAACTACTACAACCATTATCAGTATGGTACATGTATTTATAAACATTTGTCTACTGAAGATACTCCAGATGCATTTGTTAGATGCCATCACGAATAATCGACTTTCAATCGTACAAATATTTTACAAGTAGAAAATAAATAATTTAAAATACTTTAAGTGTACAATCATTATGACAAAGAAGCATATACAAAGTGAAATCTTATTACATTTAGCATTTAGAATAAACTACTTATAAGTCTTGAAATGGAGATTGGGACTGTAGTTAACTTTTTTGAAATTTCGATAGAACAAGGAGAAGACGTAGCTGATCTGAAAAATGTGATGTATTTGCACTATACATTTCGTGTTCCAGTTCTAGCCAGTACTAGTATTTAGTGGTCATTATCGATGTAACTTTATTATTCACCTAGCTATGTACGTATGGATCTAGCTATATAGCATTGGAGAGAAATAACAGTGAAGTGGATTTATAAAAGATCACCAATCGTTTAGACCCCTAACTGAATTAGACTATGTTGTAATTTGGTCTGAGCTTGACTTAGGTTATAAGAGTTAATAAATTCGTCTTTCTTGATGTGTAAATACAAGCATATCTTTTTTTAATGAAATCGTAAATGGCTAAAAACCTGATTCATTTTCTATTCAACTGTAAATAATACCAAAGATATATAACTGACTGTAACGTTGGTCTGCCAGGAGGTTAGAATAAATATTGAAATGTTTGACTGGTAGATTTTTTCTGCCAGTTAACTTGTCATAAAAAAGCCTCACTTTGTCAAGCATTTTAGTGTCATGAACAACAATGCATTTAATCTGATGTTGTTAGTATTATAGTCTTCTGATATTTACTTAAAAAATCTTTAAAAAAGAGATAGAAACTTAGTTTTATTTCAGTAAATTATAACTTCTTTCTGATTTGAAATATTCACAACAAAATAACTGTGAACTTCTTGTACAATACGTTAATTAGTTAGTGCAGGTAAGCATATCAATATAGGACAAAGTTTATTTATTCATTTATAAAATCATACTCTCTTTTATTTTTCATTGTTATTTCTAATGTTTCTTTATCTTCATTCCAAGCTGCTTTACTTGAATCTGGTTCAACAGGATTTGGTAGATATAATACAAGCTTACTAAAGAAAGATAAAATAATATTTTATTATAAAAAACGTTTTATTGTCTTGGATAGTCAGATAAGGAAAAATAACTTTCAAAAGATCATGCACTGGTACGACCGAGAGTGAGGGGAGTCAGCACTCCCCCCCAAAATGCTCTCACATGGTCACGTGCATTCAACCACTGCCAGGGAAGTCCTGCTCACTGCCTTCTCACGGCGGGGGTGTTGTTTACGAAATTGAGAGGACAAAAAAGCGAATTTTCGGCGCTTTAACGGGCTAGGTAAATATGGAGGATCTATCTGGGGGAGTTGGAAAACATTGTTTCCAAACCATTGGTTCACATGGGATTCAGGATCCTGAGAGAACAAATGGCGTATGAGCCAATCTTTGGTCACCGACAACCATGGGAATGCATCTCCTAAAGTTGCTCCACTGCCTTGTGGATTAGACCTTTGGGTCAAAGATTCGGGGTGTGGCTCCCTATGAAAACCACCTGTTTCAATTTGGACACCCGGGCACTATCCTAGCCCTTACACAAATCGTATGATTTGTGGCGCATATATATTTGGTGCCTTCTTGTGCCTATGTTTATGTTTTTAAATAATAATAATACTTTATGAAGTTAAAATAAGATCTGATCTAAAATTTTGATGTTAATTGCTTGTTCTTGTGAAGATAGTTAACAATAACTTATTTCGTAAGTAATTTTTGTTATTGTTCATAGTTTCACATAATTTGCACAATTACAATTATTGACTATAAAGTGGTTGTTTAAAATTTGATCTTAAACTTCTGTTAACGTTTTCTTCCCTGTTCGCATGATACACAGACGTCTGCTCATAGATACACTGTTGTGCACACACTTCTCTTTCTCACCTATAACAGATGTTTACAGATCACTCAGATATTTCCATTACGTAATTATCCCGGAAACATATTATCTTGGATTATATCTATCATATTTGAAATTATTGGCTACTTCTTATAACTGTGAACTACGAGATCAAAACTCGAACACGCTCCCTACTTATAATTTAAGTAACCTCCCACACTTTTTCTTTATGAGCATTTATATTTGTGTATATTATCAATTGTCTTTATAATTTTCTTAATAACTATTATTATTTTGGTATTGATATATTTGGTCCGCCAAGATTATCTGGTGAGTCCGACATGAGGATGTCAGCGGAACTATATTAATTTCTGCTTAAGTGTCTACTAGAAATTCCGTACCAGAGATATTAAACCTGACATATGGGAGACGGCTGGCCGGTTGGCCAAAAGCAGTCATCGCCATTACAGTCTGGCTGGCACGTTTCCCCGTTTGTCATAGCTATACGACGTTAATTTGCACGGTCTCGTGCATCACCGTGCCTTGGTGCCGTACTTGTGGTGATACCAATAGACTCCTGGGATTGGTTTAGGTGACCTAGAGTATTGTCTGGGAAATGGCATTTTCCTAGAAGATGATCTAGCACGTCTGATATGTATAGTGTATAAAGCTGCTTGTAGTGCTGCAAGCTTATTAGACAAGTCAAAGAAATGCTGTTGAAGTATTGCCATTTCATTGGTCTTTGCCTCTTCAGTAGCTTGTAATGTGTTCACACTAAGGTGACCTGTGGCATTAACCGTGGTCGTTGTGAGTTGAGGTATACGAGGTAAGTGAGAAGAAACTTTTATAGAACTACAACTCAGTGTTCATATTATCATTAGGTGCATACATTATACGAACATGCAGAAGAAATGTTTATACAGATAAAGAATACATTTATCTATGGGTATAGTATCATAGCATAACAAACAAAATTAACGTAATGGCTCACTAGATGATCTCGCCGGGTCAAATATCTCATTATCAAAATAAATATAGTTATTGAAAAAATTATGAAAACAAATATAAATACTCACAAAAAATAGTGTGGGACGTTACTTAAATTATCAGCAGGAAGCGTGTTCGAATTTTAGTCTCTTAATTCACAGTTATAAGAAGTACTTAATAATTCCAAATATGATAGATATAATCCAAGATAATGTGTATTAGGAAACTAATAAATATGATTAGAATTAAATGAAACATTCAAATATTTCAGTCTTCTTGAAACAGCTCGATTAAAAACTTATCAGTTACCCACTATTTGCCTTCATTTCAACTGATGTTACCGATTGAATTAAGTTCCATTTGATAGAAATGATGCAATATATTAACTGCACAAGCTTCTATGTACAAACTTATACAAGGGATTAAAAGGGTAAAAGCTCACGTTATTATGGGTGTAAACTTAATACAACTATTAAGGATGAAACGAAGATAACTAGACTTCTTATCTGTAATCAGCAATGTAAGATAAATCTCACTGTCTTGTAAAAAAACAACCTGATGGACAATTCCACTGACTAAATACTATTTACATAACTTTAAGATAAGAAATCCCTATCGTGAGTACGCACTGCTATGGAGTTCCAACTAGAACAAAACAGCTATACAGTGCTTCCTGATTTTCAAATGTTGTTTAACTTAGGTTGGTTGGTGATTTTACTAACAAATGGTTGGAATGAACGTTACCAACTGAAAACAACAGCATATTAATGTTAAAACAATTTTAAGGAACAGTTGGTCAGTTAGCTAGTAAAACTAGTTATACAAGTATAATAATCGAATATAAAAAATTATCGAAATTATACAAGAGGAGTGGGTCATTCGGATCCACATTTTGCATATCCTAGAAGACATAGGAAATCATATCAACAAACCTAACCTGTTCGTGCACCAGAGGTTTGTGAAGGCTTTACTCTGGATGTCTGCTTAGTCAAACGGCATTTTTCTTAGATAAACCCTAATTTGCTTATTCTTATACTGATGATGTTATTTTTACCAGCCCACAGAATAATTAATTATTCAATTCGTCTTACTACAAACTCATTATTTGAATAAATAATGGTAAATTTAGTATATTGAACAGCTGTCCAGTGATTCCAGGTTTTTCATGGTGGTCTAGCTTTAATCGACTCATGAATTCAACTATTAAATTACTACAATCTCCACAATCCCCCATTCCGATATTGAATGTGTATTATTTCTGTTACTTAGTATCCAAGAGGTAAAAAGCACGTCATTCAACTTGGTAAAAAACGAACAAAGTAAATAATTATCACAAAGAAAAGAACAATAATTTAGTGTTTCGTTAATTGATGTACCATAGTATATGATAATATATGAATTTAAATTAAAGTATCAAATCCATATTTAACAAAATATTTTACTTAAGGACTTACTACTTAGGTGCTCTCAGATCAAGAAATGTTTCTTTGACGTCTAGAATAATGTCAGACAGTCGTGTATCTGGAAGTATTACTTTGACCTATGGGATGAAAAAGAATCAAGATTTGAATGTAAATATGTAGTTCTGGGTTAGTTGAAAATAAAAATGCATCTTAAATGACTTATTAACTATGGTTATCAAGATCATAGTAACAAAAAATATATATAAGATTTAGATTTCTCTTTCACTCTATATGATGAAAATAGAGGAAAACAATGTCAAACATAAAGAAGATGAATGTCATCCATATAATGAAATGTAACAGCTACAACAAACACCAAAGTGGTCATTTGTTTCACCTTCATCTGTGCAGAAATCGGTTAACTTTTAAATATCATTATATATTTTAGCTTATAGAAATACGTATGTCCAAATGTACGCATTGATTTGAATTCGAAAATGGTAAAATATTATAGACAACACGAACAATACAACAGAGCTTTTATAACCCGAAAATTCAGGTCACTGAGAGATGAAGTCAACCGAATTGTGGGTGGACGTAGTGATAGCATAGTTTCTGGTGACGGTCTGTGTAGCATTTCCCTCTTTGTGACCAAGGTACAAAAACACCTCTCTCGAATCTATCCTTTTCAGTTCAACTTGGGTCCAATCGGTTTCATTTATTCCGAGCACCTCTAAGTTGTATCTCCTCATTTCTGCAGCTATTTGATTGGTCCTTAAAGTCTCCCACACTGTCCGAACATTCCATGTACCTAAGTTAATTATTGCTCTGGTTGTTTGAGAGGGCATCGGCCTAGTGACTTCCGAAGAATCTGGGCTTTCACCATGAGACGTCATAACTCTTACTCCAACTTCCAGGGCAGAGTTTAAATGGTTTGAATTTGTTTATCCCGGTTAGAATTTTCTTAGAAAGGGTGTTTTCTACAAGATGGGGTTGCTAACCCTATGCCCAACCCTTCTCCTTTACCCAGTCTTGGGACCCACAGTAACCCTAGAAGAGCTACAGGCGGAGTTTTAGAGAATATAACATACTCAAAATCACTCAGTTAGGCTAAGAATACCAGAAGGTTCGCTATGAAAGTAAGTAAACAAATTTTGCAAGAAATCTCACTAAAGTGAAACTAAAAAAATATGAAAAGATGGATGAGAAGAATCTGGCCTTATTGTAATGTAGAATATAACGTTGTTATTGCTGGGGGATAGCAGTCCATCTACACACCATCTTTTTCCTATTCTCACTTAATACCAACTATTAACTTCGACTAGACTTGTTGATCACAGAAAATTCCCGATGCATGCGGTGAGTGAAGAGTAATGGTAAATGATGGACTGTTTTACATCCTTCGATCTTCCTTAACATTGGTAATAAAAAGAAATGTCTGAACAAATCAATTTCGTTACTTCCACTTCATACTTTGCAAGTGGAATATCGTTGCTTAATTCTTTATATATTTCTGGGCAAACCAATCAGTTTTCATAACTGGTTTTATGGTCTATAATGACATAACAATGAACGATACCTGGCCAATACATGTTTGTGATATAGCTATTCTTAGAGCTCTGAGTTAAATAACTGTATACTTTCCCTTGTGAACGCAGATCCATTCATTCTTTGTATTGCTTTAACTCTTGGTTTTAGTATTCAGTACTTCTCAGTATTAGATTTTAGTCATTCTTTTATTAAATTTCTCACTATTACTGTAATGAACAGAACCCGAGTAAGGACAATCGAATGTTAGATGGTGGTTGGAGGTTGTCAACAGGAAACCCTGGACCCGGGTTTCGTGCTACTTGGCACTCGTCAGCAAGGTGTACCTGTAATCTTGAGGGAACTGGTGCTCCCTGGCGGATTCGATCTCGTGTCACCCAGCTTCACAGTCAGAGACGCTACCACTGAGCTATCCGAGCAGCGACTAACCTCCTGTAGGACTGAGATTATAGGTACACCTTGCTGACGAGTGCCAAGTAGCACGAAACCCGGGTCCAGGGTTTCCTGTTGACTACCTCCAACCACCATCTAATCTCAATACATAGTGCCCGCAGTATCGAGTCACCTAGACTGGTGGCCACATTACAACATGATCGATAGCATTCGATCTGCACTAATAAGGACTAGACAAGCATGACATTGATTACCACCCAGTGATCAATCAATTGTGACAATCGAATGTATTTGACACAATACTACAGGACCTGTTATTAAAATCTAACAATCAAATAGTAAATATGTAATTTGCAAAATGTCCATCAATTGTCTCATAATGACTCAGACTTCATTGTTCTTGCACTTTCATACAAATTACATTCTGTCTCCACTCTTTACTGTTCGATCCTCTTGTCTCTCTGCTGCCAGACATTCTGTTCACGACTAACATCATCTACTACTTATGTCAATATAAGTAGCACACATCACGCTACCACCAGATTGAATTTGATCCTGTTACATTTTTTTGATTATACTGGCAAGAAATGTAATAATTCGGACGGAAATAATATTTATATAAGATTCTAAACGACTTCTATCTTTTTGGTCAAGATCATCAACCGATTGATGTTAGACCACCATTAAATACCCGGAAGCACTGGACGGCCGTTTCGTCCTATTGTGGAACTCCTCAGCAGTGCGTATCCACGAAACCGCTCGCGGAATTCGAGCCCAGGGCCTTCGGTCTCGCACGCAAACGCCTAATCTGTAGACCACTGATCCGGCATCCAGCGGTGTTAATGTCTAACCTCAACCAATCCACGAAATTGCTTGACCATCTTCCATTGTACTGAGGTACATACCTGTCTCTATCCGACACGGATTAGCTCCTCTGGTCACGGCTTCTCACTAAAACTCCGAGAACTCCCTCACCAAGCTAGTTATTGGTGAGCATATGGTCATTATCAGTATAGGGTTATGGAGATTATTAACTTTTTGATTGAGATGAACCGATTTCTATTTTCCTATTTGTCGCTTAATTTTAAAATTGAAACATTATCCTTAAATACAAATGAATGCAGTTTCTTTATAAAAATAATTTACGCATAAATTATGAGAATTTTAATTTCAACTAGAAGTTTGATTCTGCTTACAATCATGTATTCACAACAAGCTGTCGTTGGATTTTTTCTACCAAGTTGTAAATAGACATCTTCAGCTGTTACTGCTTGCTGATACACTATTTCATATCTGTATATGAAATGAACAAACGCATAGAAAAGTGTTTTAGATGAATAGTAGACAAAATTTAAACGAATAGTTTAACAAAGATTAAGCACGGAGTATTTTGAGGGTATTATGGCCTTAAAAATGTGTATCTTCAGTAAATGAATTAAATTATTCTTAAAACATTAATTAATTTGGTAAGAGATATTTTAATCACACAGGTTTTAATGATCCGAATGTATGTTTCTTCATAACTATTTAAATAATTAAGCGAAGATGGATAGTGGCTAGCAGTGGAATCCAGGACGCGCGTTTAGTCCTATTTGGGACTCGTCAGCTGGATGTACCTGCATGCCAGAGTTGATGTTCACTCCAGGACAACAAAAGACTGACCAATTGCAGTCCTAAATAACAGTTGGAAGATACAACTAAAATGAAATCAAGTGTACTTAAATAATTGAACATACAATAACATTCATCTTATTTATTTTAATTTGTTTGATATGTGGGGATATTTAACATAGACTTACTTGGTAATTAGTTATTTTTATTATTCTCATTTTCTACCGGGGGAGGGACTTTTTAGGCGCTCGCACCATGTCAAGCCCATATAGGTTATTTTAGCTTTTGAACAGAACAATTCATTCTCCTCAGGCCAAATTTTGACCTTGTCACTCATTCGCTTATTAGGTTGATTGCTTTTTATATGATCGTATGTGTGTTAATTGCTTGCTCTATTCATTACGTGTCTGTAATTTATTTTTGTCTGAATATAAATATTGGGTCACTCTTCATCAAATTGAGATGCTTCACTCGCTTTCTCCACCACACGTCACTGTGTTTTCCTTCGCTTCCTTTCCCTGATCGGCTGTTCAGATCACTCGTATTTGACTTATTTTTATTCCGTTGTTCTCCAACGTGAAATAAGTTAATAAGAATATACGAGGATTGGTGGCATGTATATTTCTATAACAATCATTATACGACCTAACTGGAGTCAGATACAGAGCCGCTCAAGATACCAGTTTGATGATTAACCGTTGAATAATAATCAATGTTATACTTTGTTGTTTTCGATAATGACTCAATATCAAGTTTATGTTTATATAGTGGTATACATAAATACCCAAGAGGCCAATAATTTTTATCGTAATGATAGGTTGAAGATGTTACTTAAACAACTGTACTAACATGCTGAATGGTACGTTCAGGCGAAGATTCTACAGTTGAAATCCGTTTATTGGATATGCCATCAAATACTCAGTGAATATTTGAATTATAATAACTGTTAGTAGTGATTCTTAAGATAGTTGAAATTTTCCATAAATTAGTAAAGTGGGAAAAGAAGACCGTAATCTAACATAAAATATATAGGATTTTTACCTACTTGGGCTGAGGGCGCGGATCATATATATCTTCATGCTGTGTACCTTCTGGTATTTCATCAATATCCCATATATCATCAGGATTCTTTTGTTTCACGTTAGGTTTTTCTTTCTTGACTGATAAATTGGATAAAGATATGATTGAAAAAGTGTGAATTGAGACAAACCTTCAGAACGACACTTGGGACCAATATCGCCCGGTTTCATTTTAGACATTGGAGTTATTACCTGGCAAGGAAAGAAAATGTGTAGCATTTATTATCAACGTATATATTTATGGAGGGAGAGAGAAATATTTGAGGTAGTGTTTGATACTCATGGGACATAACTTACTACTTATTGGACTAGTTGACAGTAGAATTAATGAAGTCGGTAGTGAAATTTTTATTAGGTGTTTTTTCGGCCTACAAGTTACTTATTAGTATCCTGACAACTAATGTAATACACTTATCACTGGGTCGCGCGAATGGTACTTTGCCTAATAGTCAATAGTAATGATAAGACTAGACACAGGGTACCAGGTAAAATGTGTAGTCCAACTGACAAGGCTGTAAACCTTTGTTGGTTAAGGCAATTGAGATATGTGTTACATTCCCCCAAATATCATTTAGCCTGACATAAATCACTGACTGGCAGAGGAGTAAGTTGGGAAAATACCATGATTAGGCCAAACAAAGATATAGTGTCAGTCTATGAAGTCCTCTATTGTTGGTCTGGGCCAATTCAGGAGGTGGGAAATTACTAATAAGAGTTTTAATTTATAATAGAGTACATCGGGTGAAATGTGAGGGAGAGGTCGATCATACCAAAGCAGGTGTATCCATTCTATGGCCATTTTTAAATCATGAGTCTTACCGACCGCAAATCTTCATTTTTTTATTCCCTTTATCCTGCATATCTGATGTTTAAATTTCTATCATAGCTGATAAAATTTTCACTTCGCTTACCACTCATCTAGTTAGGTCATTTTTTCAATGTGCTGATGTAAGGTATTAAAACTTGGGTCAATACAAAGTCATATTCGGTCGATTGATCAACGGATCCAGTCTGTTGCCGAATGAGACTGATGTACAGACTATTTCACTGTTTAAGTGACCAAAGGAGAACATGTACCTTAATATAGAGCTCACCAACAAGGCATTTGACCTAAATGTCGAATCCATAATTCAGTGAGGCAGAGGCACACACTGTGTCTGGTGTATAAAGTAAGTTCATACACCATTGATCGGCTCAGGACATTGTAGTTTATATCAATTACTGACAGAAACATGGGCTTCAAAAGATTTCCACCAAAATCCTCTGTATAGACCAACCTATTCAATGTCCTCAGAGTTTATTTTACCTCTTTTAATCTATGCATATACCCACGCCAAGTAAAAACAGTGAGTGGTATTTTCTCAGAAGGGACTATAAACACGCGGTCGTATGACACTTATTTCAAAGTGTGAAATTTCCTTCTAGTCAATACACTAGGGCGATCGAAGATGCGTGTAACCTAGCAACCGAGTACAAGTTACTTTACTCGGGGATTTGTGCCACATCTTCCGTATAGGAACTTCTGAAACCGAAATGGAGCGAAGTTTGAATCTTCAACGCAATGATTGAAACACAAGTTTTTTAAACAGAAAGTCACTACCTTACACGATCCTTTAAATAAAGAAAGAGTGGAGGTCTTTATTCTAATTTAATTGTTGCTTAATTATCAGGGTAAAAGTATGAACAACTAAACAGAGATAACCCTCAAGATCGAAAATTCTATTCACTTAAGTAATGGAGGATACTAAACATGATTTGTATCTACCAAATGAGATCGTTTTCAGTTAAGACAAGTCGATATTTGCTTTAGTTAGTAGGACAATTTACTTTTGAATAAAGGAAGTAAACGTGGGAATATGAGTACTCTAATAAGCATATATATTAGGCTTGATTTGTACATTGACAAAAAACTACTATCTGGTTATCCTTTCACACAGCCAAGGATAGGAGGTCGTTTAACCAAGTCAGTAAAATTCTCACCAATCTAAAACAGTTTAGATGGATCATCGCCACGTTATTAGTAAGTAGATTGAAAAAAATAAGTTAGCCATCTGTTTTTATCGATTCAAATAAAACTACATGGTTACATTTTCAGTAATGAATTTAGATTACCACGAATAAAAGGACATATGAATAGAATAGTTTTAGTATAATAGTCTTATTAATTTAAAAGATTAAAGGGGAAAAATTTATAACTCACGTCATCCTGATCACTATTATCTTCCAACTCGGGATCCCTAAGTAAATTTTGCAATGAACGTATATTTTCTCGTGTCCATACAGCTTCCATTTTGTCTCCTTTATTATCAACAAATGTACAAGTGAGCTTATTATTAGTGAAAAATAATCAGTATGATAGTTATACCACACGATAAATAAGGAAATTATTAGTTGTGTCACTTATACAGGTGGACTTTTGATGTAAGTTATAAATAAGATCGAAAAAAAGGCTTATATCAAAAGATAAAAAAGGCTAGATCACTGTTATATAATTCAATGAAGTAATTATAAATCCCAGTTGACTTGAATTACTTTTGTGCCTCAGAGAATGAGTTTGATACTTGTTTACTTTTGGCCAAGATGAATTTGAAATTAAAGAAACACTAGACATCTGGGAAAACAGCAGTACAAATGTTCAATACAACCTTCCTACGAGACACTAAGAAAATTAACAAATTCAAGATAACTCTCAACAACAGGTTCCAAGCCTTATAGGATCTACTGAAAGAAGAAACTTCTTGGAGGACGACTGAGAAGGGGTCAAAAAAGCACTAACTTCAACGTGTCAGGAGGTGCTGGGCCGCAATAAGCATCATCATAAGGAATGGATCTCTATGGAAACCCTAAACAGGATTCAAGAAACGAAGAACAAGAAGACAGTAATTAACAACAGCGGAACACGAGCAGAGAAAGTCAAGGCACAAACTGAGTACACGGAACCAAACAAGCAAGTGAAGAGGAGCATTAGAACCGACAAGCAAAATACGTGGAAGAACTAGCAACGCCGGGGAAAAAGCTGCAAGAGAAGAAAATATGAAACAACTATATGATACAACGAAGAAACTAGCAGGGAAATATAGTAAACCAGGGAGACTGGCCAAGGACAAAGAAGGCAAGACAGTCACTCATAATCAAAAACGGAGGAACAGATAAGTGGAACAATTCGAGGAACCCTTGAATAGACTATCCCCATCAAATCCACCGAATATCGAAGCAGCACCTACAGACTTCCTACAGCCATCACTCCATCAGTGACAGAAGGAATCAGGATAGCCATCAGACAAACCAAGAATGGGAAAGCAGCAGGACCTGACAATATACCAACTGAATCTCTAAATTCAGACATAGAAGTGGTTGCAAACATGCTGCGCGTTCTACTCAGGAAGATTCGGGGGCAATAACAAGTGCTGACGGACTGGGAAGAAGGATAACTCACCAAGATACCAAAGAAAGGGAATCTGAACAAATATGAGGACTACAGAGGCATCACACTACTGTCAGTACCAGAGAAAGTTTTCAACAGAGCGTTGCTGAATCGGATGAAAGATTCAGTAGACGCCCAACTTTGAGATCAGGAGGGATCCCATAAGGATCGGTCGTGCGCAGACCAAGCCGAGTCACTACAGATCATCGTTGAACAATCAGTAGAGTGGAAGTCTTCACTATAAATCAACTTCATTGACTATGAGGAGGCATTTGACAGTGTGCATAGGAGAACCCTATGGAAACTTCTTCGACACTGGTTTACTTGAGATCGCCAACGTCATCCGGAATCCATACGACGAACTACACTGCAAAATGGTGCATGGAGGACAGTAGACAGACGCATTTCATGTGAGGACCGATGCCAGAGAAGGCTGCTTATTCTCTCCCTTTCATTTTCTTCTGGTGGTCAAGTGAATTATGAAGACCTCGATATCTGGGGGGAAAGCACGGAATACAATGGATAGCTTGAAATCAACCAAACGATTTGGACTTCGTAGATGACACGGCCCTGCTATTCCTTACACACGAACAAATGCAGATGAAGTCAATTAGTGTAACAGCAGCTTCTGCATCGGTAGGCCTTAACATACACAAGGGAAAAAGCGAGATCTTTAAATAGAACACGGAGAACACCAAACCAATCACACTTGATGGAGAAACTCTGAAAGATAAGGAATATTTCATGTACCTGGGAAGCATAATCGATAAACAAGAAAGACCTGACGCAGAAGTAAAGGCGAGGATTGGCAAAGCAAGGGCTGCATTCCTACAATTGAAGAACATATGAAACTCAAAACAACTGTCTGCCAACATCAAATTGAAAATCTTCAATACGAACTTCAAGGCAGTTCTATTGCACGAAGTTCAAACTTGAAGAACTACTTCAATTAGCATCAAAAATGTACGGGTATATATATAAATAGTTGTTTACGCAAGCTATTCAATCTCCGTTGGTCGAATACCATCAGCAACAACCTACTATGGCAGAGAACAAATCAGCTTCCATCTAAAGAGGAAATTATGAATAGACGCTGGAGATGGATAGAACATACATTACGCAGAGATTATCAAACTACATCATGAGGAAAGCCATAACTTGGAATCATTTGGAGAGGAAAGGAGGAAGACCAAGAAATACACTGAGTTGGCAGTTGGAGACAGACATCAAAAGAATGAATAGCGGTCAGGAACAACTGTAAAGCATTGCCCAGGACAGAGTTGGTTGGAGAATCCTGGTTGGTGGCCTATTCTCCATGAAGCGTAACGGAAGTAAGTAATTACTTACGCCTGCTACTCTTCATGAGGAGCATAGGCCTCCCACCAGCACTCTCCATCCAACTCTGTTCTGGGCAATCCTTTTCAGTTGCTATCCATTCTTTTCATATCTGCTTCCAATTCACGACGTAGTGTTTTCTTCAGCCTTCCACTTTTCTGTTTCCATTCAGGATTCCAAGTTAGGGCTTTCCTCATGATGTAGTTTGATAATCTCTGCGTAATGTATGTTCTATCCATCTCCAGCGTCTATTCATAATTTCCTCTTTAGATGGAAGCTGATTTGTTCTCTGCCATAGTAGGTTGTTGCTGATGGTATTCGACCAACGGAGATTGAATAGCTTGCGTAAACAACTATTTATATATATACCCGTACATTTTTGATGCTAATTGAAGTAGTTCTTCAAGTTTGAACTTCGTGCAATAGAACTGCCTTGAAGTTCGTATTGAAGATTTTCAATTTGATGTTGGCAGACAGTTGTTTTGAGTTTCATATGTTCTTCAATTGTAGGAATGCAGCCCTTGCTTTGCCAACCCTCGGCTTTACATCTGCATCAGATCTTTCTTGTTTATCGATGCTGTCTTTTGATGAGCTTGATACCTGAGAACTTTATTTTTCAAGTGTTCATTTGATTTCGAAGTGCTCAGAATTTCCAACTTTTACTAGGAGTAATATAAGAGATCATTGACTAAGTAAAGACTACTATAAAGGATTCGTAGACTGGGATACCTTTCACATATTATTTCAGATGCTGAAATATTAAACATTATTTTTCAATACAGATACTAATCATCATTAATAAGATTGCAATCAGTTTATAAAGATGTGAACCTTACAGTGTTCAGTCGATTACCAAAAGAGTTCCTCATATTTTAGTCGACCTTTTATGCAATATTCATAATATAACCCTTCAATTTATCCATATTACTTTTAAAACAAATACTCAAATTCTTTAATGGAGCAGTTGACTAATTCCTCTTTATACAAATAAAATTCAAACATAATAAAGTATTAACAAAAATAGAACAATGAATTCCGATACGATTATTTTATTCAACATAAAACTGTTGTACTAAAATATTTGTGCTTTCTCTAGTTGTAAAAGTTTTGACAAATATACAATATTTAACCCAGTTCTGATGGTTTTAGCAACTCATTAAAGAGGTTAATTCACTGTACTGTTTGGTGTTATTGATTCCTTTTGACTCCATAAGTTTAACCGTTTAGCTGACAAAGCATTATTAACATCAAACTGCAATTGATTTTTCGTCAATTCTTGTGGAATTAGTTCCATACGAAGCGTCGTACGATCTACTATGCCACACGCAACCAATGTTGCAGAAAGATCAACTAACATTTGGTGATTGCATAGTTCATTGGGATTTTCAATAGTGTTTAGTAAAGACATAGCTAGTAGCCAAAAGGGCTTGCTACAAGCTACAAGACGATAATTTCTGTTGGTTTTCGATAATGTTTTCGATCTAGCATGATCTAACGTTGCATATAACTCTCCTATTGTATCTTCTGGATGCATTTCAACATTGTAAATTTGCAAACCATTTTCCGAATAAATCCTTAATGTTATAAGTTCTGATTTTAATTGATTCTTGTCTATTGTGTTATTTTTATATATGTAATCAGTTTTAATTATTCTAGTTGACGGAACATTAATTTGTTCACCAAATTCACTTTTTATGTCTTTTCTAATATTTAACAGCTGACCAGATTTTGTTAATTTATACTCCGGTAAACGTTTTAGCAATTCATCAAAAGTTAAAGATTTATTTCGCCTATTAGTACTTAATGTGTTTGAAGTTAGTTTATTGGATGAGGCATTACATTCTGCTTTCATTTGATTTTCAATTCTAAAATGGAACGTATAAATTATATAGAAAATGAGTTACAAAACAGTTTAATTTGCAGATATGTAGTATATATATTTGTGGTTATGACCCATTTAACTTGAGATCTCAAACAGTATTATGTTTAAATTCATTCGGTATTGTTTGCTTGAATCTTCCCATTGATGTTTAGGACGTCAGTTGATCAGTCTCTTATGAGCATATGTGCATCATGTGAGGATTGCCTAGACGTTAACCTAATTCACAAGCAATATAAGCAAAGATAGTCGGTGGCTAACAGTGGAATCTAGGACGCTCGTGAAAATCAACTCTGGGATGCAGATAGGCCCAGTTGACGAGTCCTAGATAGGACAAAACGCGGGTCCTGGATTCCACTGCTAGCCGCAAAACATCTTTTCTTATAGTATTATGGTTGTGTCAAAAAGACAACCAGAAAGTTTACATATTTTATACGACTCAGTTTAGTATTTAAAGATGATTTCAATGTTTTGATCTGTTAGTCTATAGTCTATCTGCTCCTCCATTAACTATTAATAGTATGCTGAAGTACGTATTGTCTGAGAATGTGTCAAAAAAACTATGAATAAATTCGACTACTGGGTTACTTTTAGTAGCACTTCTACCGTCTTGAGACGAGAATATTCTGAACACTTTGATGTACATCGTTTT